AGCAGCAGTAACAGCAGCAGCAGCAGCAGCAGTAACAGCAGCAGCAGTAACAGCAGCAGCAGCAGTAGTAACATTGATGGGTGGGTGTAATACTTTTTTTTTCTTTAGATTTTCCATACAACGGCACAATTCTGCTTTTCCTCTCCAAACAGACGTGGAGCTGCAGAAAGACGATCAGGGCCCTGAGGACGTTCTCCTTGGCCTTGGAGGAACCTCCATCTGTCCTGTGAGAACCTTCACTCTCAGCCTCCCTGGACATGTGTGTTTGAAGGTCACATTATTGTGTGATTTTTGGTAATCATTAATAATTACTGACCAGTCGTGGAGGATTAACAGTCGACTTCATTATCACAAATACCACAGGGTGTCAGGCAGCAGCAGGGGTGGTCATGTGACCACTCAGGGAGCTGGACATGCACTTTGAGGGTCAGAGGTGGTCCATAGATACCCCCTGAGGGGTCAGCTTCATTAGGTGTTAATGACCCTCCCCGAGGGCAGCTTGTTGCCTCTGCTCTCCATTCTTTCCCTCCTGCACACTCAGCACATTTCTTTACGCCCTGAGACAGAGAGGTTTTTGTCGTGTTATTTGTTTTTCAGTAGAGACGTGTGTCGTCAGTCCCAGGGTTTCAGTGACATCACAAATTAACATTTTAGTATCATCTTTGTTCTTTTATTATTTGTTCTTTAACATCAGAGGCGTAACTGTTGGCTCCTGGCCCTTTTTCAGCACCGTAGCTCCTGGCCCCTTTGAAAAACAAATGTGGACGTTACTGCTATAAAAAAAACAACAAAACGTTGTGTAAAGTTGAAATCTTTTTTTTATTGTCTGTTTCCTCTTCTCTCTCGGTTCCTGTCCAAAACACCAGAACATCAACGGATCCAGACCAGAAGCGGCGCTGCCTTGGCTCTGACTCGGCTGTGACTCAGCTGCACATGTGTCCGATTGTGTTTTTAAAATGTCATAAGGAAGCAGTTAAGACGTGAAAAGTCACGCAGCAGCATGAACTCCTGTGATTTCTAATTAAACTGTTGCTACAACATCTCTGTTCCTGCCCTGCTCTGCTAATTAGAGAGGAAACGCTGGTGCAAATCCCTCTTTGTTCAACCCCTCACTCAGATGATCTGTGCTCCGGCTGCCACAGCTCAGCATCTTCTTCTAATTTACGGCGGAGGAGGCCTGGTATTAAACCAATCACAGGCTGAGACTTGGCCTCCGTACAATAAACAGACGCTGGTTTGAACTTCAGGAGGCTTTGATTGCAGTTCATCAGCTCAAAGCAGGGGCAGCAGTGAGATTCAACAGTCCAGCTCATGCCAAGAAGTAGGTCTGTAGTTCAATTACCGCACTGAGACGGGAGTTCCTCCAGAAGCCGAGCTGTGACTTTTGACTGGTTCCAGTTTATTGCCTGGAGTCAGTGAACATGACAATAGTCACAGCTTATTTACTCAACTGAACAAACAAACAAACGTTTGAACAGATATGTTTAAGAACTGGATGTTTGTGGACAGAGTTGTCGTTCAAAAGAAAACTTCCACATCTGTTGGAGCAAACACAGAAGTGATTAGTTTTTCTCTCCACAGTCCACTGTGTCTTCTTAAACTTGTCTCCTTCCGTCGTCACCGTTGTCCCTGATTGTCAGATGATATTGGCTTGTTTTAAAGTTGCAGGTTTGTCTCTACATTTCCTTTGGACAGAGTCTGTTGTCAGCCATTGTGTCTCCTGCAGCTCAGTGTCTTTACTGGAAGTCACTTTGTTCTTTACTGTTGTGGTTTTGTCACATTGCTTTGTTTGTTGTGTTTCTTTGTTTGTTTGTTTTTTGGCGGTGCAGCTGTTTCACATCTTGTGGTGTCTTCAGTCTCTGGCAGTTGTTCCGGATGATTCTCTGTCGTCACTTCACTCGTGTTCACGGCAGCTTTGCATCATTTCTTTGAATTACCACCTTAAAAAAAGGAGTTCTTGGACGTTGGTTTGCGTTTTTTTCGCAGATGCGTCACTGACACTCCATGAGGAAAATGAAAATGTCAGGGTTTGTGGTGTGGAACGTCTCAGTCAGAGCCAGCCAAGGTGTTAAATATTATGTGGTTAATAAGGTTTGATGATTGGATTTATGATGCATTATTACTGCTGCTGCAGGTATTTCTGTTTCTCTGTGTGTTTCTCAGCCAAGGAAACTTCAACTTGTGGCAAAGTCTTAATTTCGTAATTATGTTGGAAATATTTCAGCCTCTGGCTGCAAAGACTTCAGACAGTTTGTGAATTTAATCATCAATTCCACCTCCTGGTGTCACATGCAGGTTGGTGTGGCTGATGGAACGACTCTCTGGACACTTGCATACCAACAGGTCAAAGGTCAACAGGTGACGTTGTCGTTAAACGACCACCAGGCCTCAGAAAAGCCTCCCACCAAAATCCCTGTGGCAGGCAGTTGTTCCATTAGACTGCTGCTTCACTTCCTGTCACGTGACACTGTGAGGTGGATGAGGCAACAGCAACCGTTCAAACTCGTCATCACAACAGGAGCAGGAAACAGTGACAGATTCATCACCTTCTCATCGGCTCCGAAAATGAGCCTCCACACATTTGATGGCCAAGTGACCGTAAGTGCCTCCGGTGCTGGAATGCACTTTGACCTCTGACCTCTGGGCAGGCCAAAGGTTTGATCCTGACCTCCAGAGAGGGACCAGTTGCTCTGGTCAATATTATTGGGTTCAATAAAGATGTATTTATAGCAATAATAAAAGGTTTGTCTTTTGTTTTTAGCTGCACCATAGTCAGGAACGAGCAGGGACTCAACTCCAGATGGGATACCTGACAGAGGCTGGGATTCAAACCAGCAATCATCTGATTACAACCCTGACGCTTTAACTACCAGATCACAGGGAACCCACCATCTGTGCCCTGCCTGACTGAACCTGTACCAGCCAGCACACTGGACCACAGTCCTGGACCAGGATCCTACTGTACACGAAAGAGACTTTTGACCGCTGGTCCTGACATCCTGGCTGGAGCCTCAGATTCCACATGTTTGAAGAAGTCATGTCTCCCATGAGAGCATTTTCTGAATGAAACCAGCTCTGACCTCAGACCTGCAGCTAAACCAGGAAGTTTGCACATCAATGTTTTCAGGTAAGGAGACTAGAGACCGGGGCAGATCTCTGGTCTCTGGTCTCACAGGCTGCACTCAGGGACATAAAATGTTCTTTTTTTCCTGACTGTCTGACGTTTTCCAAATGCAGCACTGCGGTGGTGAGAAGAAAGCAGAAAATTGAATCTAACAGGAGCCGACGTCAATATGTAACAAAATGAAAAATGGACTTTAAGGGCCACATAAATAAGAGGGTTGAGCGGAGCCACATAAAGGCCAGCAGCTGTAACAGTGGACAGATTAAACCCACCCCCACCCCGCTGCAGCCTCTCTGTATTTGTATTAGACTAGTATCGATTACAGATGTATGGAAGATAGATCAGGTGTTAAATAATATTTTACAAATGTACGGTGGCGACCGGGGCCCGACCCCCCAGGTAAATCAAAGTGACAACAGGACACGGCCTGGTATAAGCACATATCCCTGTGGCCCATAAACTAAACAGGCAGGTATTGATCAGGAGGTGCTCTCCTGGGTGGAGGTCTCCTCAGACGAGGAGAAGGAGGGAGAGGAGGAGAACGGAATATTAAGGAGCTGCTGTGTGTGGGTTTATTTCTGTGTCCACAGCCACTCCATTAAGCAGCTCAGTTGATGGTGGTCAGCGGTTTATGATGAGCAGGCTCACAGGTCGGAGCGGGGGTGACGGGGGGGGGGCGTCAGTGAAGAGGTCAGCCCTCAGAGGTCAGCCCTCAGAGGTCACCAATCACCTCAGTGAATTGATTGCTTACACATCACAAACCTACAGCTGTGGTGGATGTTCAGCTCACAGTGACGCCGACGCTGCTGTGACGGTCGACGACACTTTCAGCTTCAGCTCAAGCTTTTGGTGCTAATCCTAGGCTAACCTTTAGCTGTCTTCTTTTAAAAACAATGTGGTGACAACTGTCATAGGCCTTTGAACGACTGTTTAACTCCTGCAGAGAGTTAAACTGGACCAAAAATATTTGTCAACACTGAATATGAATGTGATCAGGAACAATAATCAGGAAAACCTGTGGTTTACAGATCCAATCTCTCTCATTCAAACGTCTCCTTGTGTTTTAGACAGAAGGGAATAAGAATCCTGATTCCAGACCAGTTCTCAACAATAACCCTACCATTTGAATCTAAATATACTTGTTTTTTCCCATCGTCCATGATTAAATATTTTGAAAATATATATTTTCTTATATAATTCTGGTAAATCCTTGTGAAGAAAAACAGCCGTGGTCTGTGTGACAGATGTACTCCATATTCTATGATGAAGAGCAGCAGGCGTCGCTTGTTTGAAACCAAAAGAAGAAATAAATATATAAATAGCAAATAAAAAGTCTTCAACAGATTTCAGTAGAGATTTTTTTAACTGAAGAATTTCAGCAGAGCTTCAGATACAAAAGTGTCAGAGTAAACATCAACCCAACAACATTTGTCCTCTTATAAATTATAGACATTTCTGAAAAAAACAAAATTAGGCAAACGTAGAGTTGTAAGTAAGTACTTTAAATAACAGCACAGACCGTGGACTGTGTTTGAAGGAACAGAACCTTCAACTGCAGCTTCATTAAAAGAAAAAATAAATCCAGGAAGAGACAGAATCTTCAGGAGGGTTTGGAGAACGACTGTATGAAGGGGAGATAAAAGAATGGAGATTTTTTTAAATGACCTGATGATTATTTCACATCTCATTCATACATTTACATTTGTATTGGCTGTCACTGCTGCAGCTGAGAGTCGTGTCGTGTCCTGACTCCGCCCGTCTGTCCAACCCGCTCATTCTTTTCTCATCTGGCATCATTTCCCGCTGGTATTTTTGACACAGATGTTGTGTTGTGGTCACCAATTACAACCAGAGATACATTTGGAATTTACGGGGCCAAGTCCTCGCAGTAGGACTCAGAGCCAGTGAGTATCAAGTCTGGTATAAAAGAAATGGAACGCAGCCATCAAAGTTACAGAAGTTCCACCTCGAGTACCTCGGAGAACTGTTTCCTTGGTCTTATTTGATACTTTAGTGAATCTTTGATCTTTGAATACCTTGTGTGCAGTTCATTACTTATTACTTAGCAATTCTAGTTCAGCCTAATCCATTAATCCAGCCAATCCTAGCTGTCCAAAAAAACAGCTGGACTGTCTACTGGCGATCACACAAAATGCGAGAGACGCAAATTAAGTGGCTGTTCCACGTACACCATCAATGTAAATGACGCGACAGCAGGAGATTTAATAACACACAACATCCAATCAGCGACGACTTTATCCCGACGAAGCGAAGTTAAGCAGATTGCGTGTCAGGTATGACAAGCCTGAATGAAGCGATGATCGAAAAATGCCTTTGGTGTGAACGCGGGGTTAAAGAAGTCTCGGTGAAACACCAGCAGCAAACAACAGCGACCATGTTGTTGATTTAGGCCTCACTCGGCTACACCCATTTCTGATGTACATTTTATATCTCGACCAGCTTTGGTGTTGACTGTGGCTAGCGCTAAACCAGCTGGGTGTGTGTAAACCCTAGGTGATGTGGGACGAGGAACTGATGTAATAACTTAAAAGTGATGGAAATAAGAACAGAAAAGTCTTTGGTGACACAACTGCTCCAATCCCACGTTTTCAGGAGTAATGGAACTGAGGAGCTGAGTCTGTGGAGCTCAGAGCTGATTGGACTGGAGCTGCATGTAAAGCTTCAGTACGTCAGCCTTTAGTCCCAGCCAAAGTTATGTCCAGTCATTTGGTAGAACTTGAGGTTGAAGGGTCTGTAGAAGTCTCTGAGTCTGAGCAGGACCCCAGAGGGGATCTGGGGGTGGGGCCTGCCCTTGGATTTCCCCAGGCAGCGTGGCCTGCTGCTCCCCTCCGGCTTCTTCAGGCAGGGGAAACCTTTGGTCTGGTTAAAGTAGAAATGCTTGTCCGTCACCACCCGTTTGAGCCCCAGAAAGTCCTGGACGCGGCCCATTTCACCAGCTGGGTCTGAAACAAGGCGTTCTCCACTCACAAAGAGGAAGCGTGAGAGCGGAAAGAACCTCAGCCAGTTCTCCAGGTGTTTGGCGTAGATGCCAATGCGTACGGCGCTCCACGACGTGTCTATAAGTCCCGTGGTGATGTTACGGAAGGCCAGGTTCTGGAACGAGGGCAGGCCTGGAGATTTGGTCAGAGTCTGGGTGTAGTCGGAAACAGCCCGGGTCACGGGATCCCGCACCACCACAATGAGTTTGGTGCGGCGGCTCATGGAGAACACACGGCGAGGGGCTTCTTTGGTGATGAAGTAACTGGGGGTCTTCTCCATGGTGATCTGACCATCCAGGGTCCGAGGCATCAAGTTCCTTCAAGGAGACAAACACGACACTTTGGTCACTTTTAACTAACATTTGTCAAACACAACAGTTATAAACACTTCATCGACGACTTCATTGATTCCCAGTGCGTTTGTTGATCGTCTATGACCTAAATTCCAGGAGGTTTGGTCCTGAATGAACGCCAACACAGACTGAAAACGCATCACAAAAACAACAGAGATGTGCTCAGTGTAGAAGCCCGTCCTCTGCCTCTGAGGTAATTAGACGGTGCTGTGGAATTAGTGGCTGAAATCAGTGATTAGAGGGAGATAAACATGACATTAGCCGGCTGGCAGTGATGGAGTGACCATGTCAGAACAGATGAGAGGAGCGGGGGAGAGGAGGGAGTCACGGAACAGCTACCGTAGGAAAACCACAGAAGTATATTTGACCTCAGAAAAAAAAGTCATTTCCTCCGGCTGCTGAATCTTTAACAGACTCATAACCGACTGTGGATTTTATCTCCTGTGTCTTCACTCTGTGTCTGGAGTGAAATAACAGTCACCTAACTGTCATAACTGCTGCAGCAGAGTTAGAGTCCATACATGTTTGAACTAGAGCACAGATCCTCCCAAAGTCAGCCTGGACATTTATCTAAAGTGTTGACCAAAGTTCAGCGGTCTGTAACTGACGACGATGACACATCCAAAGCTCAGGGAATCCTTTTGTCAAAGCTCAAATGTCATTTCAGGGGGTGACTGAACGTTGTCGTTTTCTGCTACAGTTCTGTTTCTTTGGTAAAAATGAATGGACTGTTTTTTTTTCTTTAAACAACAGATCAGAATCAACGACGACAACATGATGACGACAACAGCCATGATGAGAACCGTGAGCAGATGATGTGTCAGAGTCAGAGACTGAGGAATGAGCAGAGCTGATCAGGTGAGTGGTCATGTGATCAGACAGGGAGAGGAGGTCAGCTCTGATCTGTAACTCTGCAGGAACTGTTGCATGTAAAGAGATTCAAAGAACAACAGAATGAATGTATGCTCAACACCAGGGCCGTGGACCAGCTGAGTGACATCAGTAAGGGTTGCTATTTTTAGTAGTGTAATCTCTGTCTGTATACTTCAGCTGTGTGCTGACCTCCAACAAAAATTTAATTACAATCCATTTTGATACATAAATCATAATTTGACCTTTGACCTCTTCATGTTCTTTAATCAACCACATTTCTTTCTAATAGAGGACTTCTGTCTACAGTGAACCTCCTGCATTCTTCAGGACTGTAAATGTGATTAATCACAGGGTAGCTGTTGACTGATCGTGATTAAATCTCTGTATAAAACCTGTTTTTTTTTCTATTCAAAATTATTCCAACACTGAAAATTGTTTTCCCACATTAATAAAACTGGTACAATGACACTGGAGCCTGTTCTGTTCTGTTCCACAACTCTGTGCTTTTCTAGTGTCTGGAGTTGAACCTGATGTTGAGCCATGATGTGTCTAATTATAACATAACAACCTTGATAATTAGGTGTAATTTAGCCTCGGTGCATGTCATTGGTCGAAAATGTTTTATGCTGTAATTTAGTGGAAAAATGAGTGTGATTTAAATTTGGCCAAAGCACAGCAGAAATAATTAGGAAATCAGACGTGGTTAAAAAAAACAAAACAATCCACTGGAGGACAGAGTTCCTCATCCGTCCACTTGTCTGCCGCTGCTTTCCTGACCCTCAGCAATCAGTGAGTTCTGTAGAGTAATAACTAATAGGACTGACTGAAGAAAACAGACCATTAGTGAAACAGAACCAGGAACGATCCCTTCATTTGGGGAATATTTGGCTGCATTTACCTGCAGACAAACAGGCTCAAGTCCAAGGTTTCCCTAAACCTGGAATTCCATGTGTTCCCATTCAGACCGCCACTGTTGCCTTTGGCTCTGTGATTGTTATGATCATCAGTGATGGAGATATTCTGAGCTGGCCTCTTCCCCTTCCTCATCCTCTTCCTCTTCATCTCAGTCGTACTCAGATGAGTCAGAGGCTAAAGGAGGGCGACCCGGCCTCACCTCAGTGAGCGTCAACTAACCCTGGACGTAAACATCCAGGCCACGGTCAGCCAGGAGACCCAGAGCACGTTAATGTGTGGGAGCTGGTTGGACATGGGGGGGGGGGGGGGGGGGGGGTGGAAACAGGAAACCAGTTGGTCCTGAGTCGTTGGCTGAACTTGACGCTACTACAACGTTCAACAGAATTTGAATAACTCAAATTTAAGCACTTAGCAGATGCTTTTATCCAAAGCGACATACAGAGGAGGATCAACAATCAGGTGAGATAGAGGAGCTCTTGAGAGGAGACCAGTAGTTAGGAAGGAGACAGAGGAGGACAGGGTAGAGGACAGGGGAGTGCCAGGACAGGAGGAGTCCCCAAGACCCCCCTGTAGATAGCCAGGGAGACTAAACTAAGGTCTGCCCCTTCATCGTTAGCACCAGACCTCAATCTGCTCCGTCCATGGTCATTTATATAAAGAGAAGACACATTCCTGGGGAGGTTTGAGCAGAAAACGTCCAGCTGTCAGGACATGCAGCAGCCACTTGGTGATTGTGTTTGGCCTTTGTGTTGTGGTGGTTGTTGATCTGTGAGTGACGGTCCAGAGGCACTCTGAGCTGCGGTCTGTGGTGGAGAAACCAGAGGTATTCCCTGTTAAACAAACTCTGCAGGTCCCACTTGTCCCCTGGCATCAGAGAACAATGGAAACACTAAGAAACTCCACTGATGGTGTTAACAAAAGAAACGCTGGGAGTTCGACTGGTGCTGCAGTCAGTACAACAGTGAGGGATGAAACTATTCTGGGGTTTTACTCCTCTTTACATTTGGTTTGGTATGATCGCCTCTTTAGGCCCAGGAGTGTGTGACAACCTGGGGCTCAGCAGCCCAGTCCCTGGGCCTGTGGGCCACAGAATCAAGGAAAGTCAAACAACTCTGTCTTGTGCTGGGAAATTCCTCTCCATGACACCCTTAGTCACATGTGCCGTCAGGCTGGGGCACCTACAGCAGGGGTCTCCAACACGTCGCTTGTGAACTACCAGTAGCTCACCGCCCTTTTCCAAGTACTTCACCAAATAAATATATATATATATTTAACTATTCTAGTTGTCTTCCTTTCCTTTTAGTTTTTTTGGAGGTTTTTTGTATATTTTTGGCTGCTTAAACAGCTGCTTAAACAACTTTTAGTTAATGTTTGACTGTGAAAATGTTTGGGTTTTTTTCTGATTTTTTTTATCAAACACAAATGTTCCTAGTGGGCAAAGTGGGCAAACAGCAAACATCTGAACAGACTTCCAACAGGATGAACCCACATCTGGGAGCAATGAAGTTCTCAGCTTGTGTAGATCAGCTTGTGTGTGGATCTGCCATTATGTGTGTGTGTGTGTGTGTGTGTTTATAGCAGAGTTAAGTAGAGTAGTGTTTCTGGGTTCTAACGAAGTTTCCTCTCCGCCTGCTCCTGCAGGGCCTGAGAACTAAAACCCTCTGTTCCAGACAGCAGCTCTGGTCGGCCCAGACCCTGTGACCCAGAACCCCTGAATACTCCTCCACCGGCCTGGACTCCGTGCCTCTTCCAGCCTGAAGGTCACAGGCAGCTGGTTGTGATTCCGAGGGCGAGACCACCGGCGCTCACAGTTGGACCGTGAAATGCAACGTGTCATCACGAGGGGCTTTTCTCTCCGGTCGGCGTGCCTCCTGTCTTCTCCTACCAGCACTTCATCTCCTGTTTTTCCTTTTTCTCTCTCCTGACTTCAAAGCCTCCACTCAGAGTCAGATTGTTATGAATAAATCTGACACGTGTGAAGGAATTTTAAAACAGGCTCAAATCCTCCAGCTCCTCAGATGGACGAACGAAGACAGATAAAGACTGTCTCTGTCTGTGTGTGTGTGTGTGTGTGTGTGTGTGTGGAGGCTGAGGTGTGTCATTATGGATGACAAACACAGGGCAGGAGGAGCTCCTGTGAACTGATTACAGCTCAGTGGAACCAGAACCAGGCCCCTTCATCAGAGAGCTGATGCTTCATTAAAATGATGATATTTTAAGTCAGGACTAAGTCTGACTATTAACTCATCATCGTGTTATGGAGTATATAAAAATACACATTTAAATATACCTACAGTAGGTGTATTCAAGGTAGAAATAACAGAAGGATTTCAAAACTAAATTCAACCGAAGTATTCAGATAACAGTTTTGGGACTTTTTTTGGGAAAAGAAAATTTCTACCTAAGAAGTTAATATTCTAGTGAGAAAGAGCTTGAACAGATCAGGAACATTTAGGAAAGAATAACAAGAACAAAGTCTTTAAACAATAAGAAACATTTGTCTCCAGGAAACGAAACATGAGATTAGGTTTTACCTCTGAACGATGAAGGTGAAGAGGAAGGACGACAAGAAAAGAAGAAGAAGAAGAAGAAGAACAACAACAACAACAACAACAACAACAACAACAACAACAACAACAACAACATGGCTCTGCTCTGTGTTGTACATAAAAATACCCACCTACTCGTACTCCCCACATACAAGCGCCCCCTCAGTCAGTGTTCAGTTACTGCAGCTTTAAAGCCAAATCATATTCACAGATTTTTGGAGATGAATAAATTCAGGTGGAATCCATCTCTGGGCTGAGTGTTTGTCTTAGCTCAGCTCCATCAGCCAGTTCCACACTATCTACATGACACAAACCCACAGGGCCCGAGCTGCACTGTGTGTGTGTGTGTGTGTGTGTGTGTGTGTGTGTGTGGCAAACCATTACGCACTCCGAAGGTTACTGTCTGGCAGGAGGAGGCGATGAGGTGTATTTTTACCAGAGGAGGTTTGCATCACTGGGGTAGGTCGGTAGGAAAGAGCGGCAGAAGAATGTGTGTGTGGAGGGGGAAAAACACGGAGGCGCAGCAGCAGCAGCAGCAGCAGCAGCAGCAGCAGCTAATGGAGACATCAGAGAGCAGGAGAAGGATGATGAGTGAAGGAGAAGTGGTCAGTCAGAGTTTCCTCTGCT